CTGCCATGGGGGCAGGAGAGTGGGAAAGGGGGGTATACTGAGGATATTAGTGGTGGGGAATACGCACTGGTGGAGGGATGGGTGTTTGATCATTGTGTGATTGTAACTGAAACATGAAAGCTTGTATCTATATCTCACGGTGATTCAGTAAAATAAATAAATAAATAAATAAATAGAGAAAAATAATGAGTCACATCCCTATCTTGCCTCGAGCGTGGGGGCCATGCCCACAAACTGTCTCCAGTGTTATATATGTTCATTAACAGCCATGATCCAGAGACTCACAAATAAATCTCAGAAGAGAACCACAAGCTGCAGAGATGCCTCTGGACCCCAAAGTCATCACCAGCTATGTCATCCTATTTAAAATTTTGTAAGTCCTGGAGTGCATGGCCATGTTCGCAGCCGCACAATATTTCATACTCTACTCCAAGTACCACACCACATTTGATGGGGTGCAAGGTAGAAGGCAACAGATCTTGATAAATAATAAATAAATAATAGCACACAAAGCTCAACATGTAACAACATGTTAGTAATATTTTATGTAAAGGCTTAATGGCTCCAGGGTGAGATACAAAAATCTCACACATTTTCCTCTAAGGAAACTTTTTTGGATCATTTTTAACAGATTTTTCATAACAAGCAAAACAAAATAAATTATTTACTATCTGCTTTTGGGGCAGGCTTGGGTGGTGGTGGGAAAATTAGAAATAATGGTGATGGGACTGGGATTGGAATACTGAGTGTAATAAATTACACTCAATAAATTACTGTGAAAAACTTTATAAAAATAAAATAAAAATTAGGGAGAAAAAAAGAGTCATAATGGGACCACAGAGCTAGGGTGGTGGGTAAAGTCTTGCACTTGTCTGATCTGGGTTCAATTCCCAACACCCCATGTGTCTCCTGAGCCCACCAGGAGCGATTCCAGAGTCAGGAGTAAGCTTGGAATACCACAAGATTGGGCCCAAATACAAAACCAAAACAAAAGAAAATGAGTCATAGGATAATAGGAGTCCAATTAAAATCACTAAATTGATTTTTCACATGGTATTTCACATGGATGAGCCTCACGCATAAAAGAACTGACAGAGGAACCCAGGTGTGTGGGACCCGGGGCTGAGATCTCCAAGCCTGCACAGTTTGGGACTGGACCTGCCAGTAACTAGACAGTTACACCCACCAACTGCCGTGTAACTCCAACAACGGCCAGGATCCAGAGATCATCACACTCAGCTCCTGGGAGAGAACAAGACAGAGTCTCCTACCCTATGCCTGACTGTCTCCACCAGGGCCCAACAGCTGAAGACCACCGAGGCCCAGCCAAGGCCATGCTGGGAGCACTCTCCACACACTTGGATGAGCCTCACGCATAAAAGAACTGACAGAGGAACCCAGGTGTGTGGGACCCGGGGCTGAGATCTCCAAGCCTGCACAGTTTGGGACTGGACCTGCCAGCAACTAGACAGTTACACCCACCAACTGCTGTGTAACTCCAACAACGGCCAGGATCCAGAGATTATCACACTCAGCTCCCGGAAGCGCGCGGCCGCATTTGCGGCCGCGCGACATCTTATCATCTCATTCCTAATTTGGTCAAACTGGCAGGCTACCAAATGTAACATGCCCACACGGCAGAGTCTGGCAAACTCCCCGTGGTATACCCAATATGCCAAATACCAGTAACAATGATGGGTCTCATTCTCCTAACCCTGAAAAAGCCTTGAATATGGCACTTTAAAAAAAAAAATCTCAGGGCTAGGACGAAGAAGACGTTACTGGCACCTGCTCGAGGCAATCGACGAACAACAGGGTGGTCGTGATCGTGATTTTATCTTTAGAAAATAGTTTTAGTAAGAGTATTCGTGACTATAAACCAGAACATAAGGAATCAAAGATGTGATCACAAAAATGTGATATCGATAAAATTATTTGAATTTTTTTTAATATGATGAAGTAGGACAGAAAAAAATCAAAAGAGGTATTAGCTTATTTGAATTGCCAAGATTGAGTTCATTTATTGACCAAAAAAGTGCTTCAGGCAAAAAATATGTTGAAGGTACATAGAAAATAGACAGAAATTTCTAGAATAAAAAGAAACTAAATCAACTACAAAATATTGAGAAATTTACTTATTATCCACAGAGACCAGAGCAGTGGAAGAATGTGAAAGTCAAAGATGAATAAGAACAAAATGAATGTGCTGTCCCTTCAACTTAACCTAAAGGACTTACTAGGTTATTCATAGTACGATCAATAAAAAATAATAAATGAAAAAAAATGAACACAAGGATGGATACAATAGTATAAATATATTATTTTATGCATCTTCTTATCACAAGTGCGATTCTACCAGGCACAGAATGCTCTCAGTGGGCACATTCCAACAACATACTGAACTAGATATGAGAGAAGCAAAATTAAAATAATTTTATCATTAATATAAATATCATTAGGTATTCTAATATTATTAAAAACCCTAAAAATGAAGGAGCCCTCTGGCTACTCAACAAGTGGCTTAAACCATGATCCCAGAGACTCAGAAACAAATCTTGAAACCCAGCGGCTTTTGGCAGAAATGCTTCTGGACTTCGCATTAGGTAAACAGCCCCAGGCCACCCCAGGTGGATATAGGTTTTGTGCCTTGTCCTGTTCCCCCTGGCAGCTCAGGGTCCGCCATATTCCAGAGGCTAACGGACAGCCAGGTAGGGACCCACAGTGAGGAGACTAGCAGAGCCTCATGGGATGGAGGCGGAGCTGGCCCTTTCCTCCACCCCCCCCCCATGAGACCTTGAGTCACTGCCCATGAATGAGCCCTCTAGTTACTCAACAAGTGGCTTAAACCATGATCCCAGAGATTCAGAAACAAATCTCACAACCAAGGCGAAGCGACATTCAAGATCAGCAATAGAAAACAAATTGTCTATCTAATGTTGCCTTTTCAGCAGATGTGAGTGTTGGGGTAAAATCCCAAATAATAATGGTGAATCTGGTGTCGAAATATTGAATGTAATCAAAGTAGAGAGTAATATGAAAACCATCTGCCACACAGGTAGGGGAGGGGAGATGGGGGTATACTGGAGTTTCTGGTGGTGGGAAATTGTGCACTGGTGAAGAGACAGGTATTTCATCATTGTATGTAGCACTGTAGCACTGTCCTCCACTGTAGCACTGTTCATTGATTTGCTCGAGCAGGCCCAGTAACAAACATCTCCATTGTGAAACTTGTTGTTACTGTGTTTGGCATATCGAATACATCATGGGTAGCTTGCCAGGCTTTGACTTGTGGGGGAGATACTCTCAGTAGTTTGACTGAGACTTAAACCGAAAGCTCACGGTGACTCAATAAATAAATTTATAAAAAAAACAAACAAACCCTAAAAATGGTATAATCTGCCATGTGAAAAAGTTATTCATTTTTCTGAAGGTTACAGTAAGGAAAATAATCAATATAAAGGTTACATAAAAAATATGTTCAATTGACAACCAGAAAAAATATATGTATTTATACATGCGTATATATACATTTATATAATTCTAGAAGGAAAATATGATTGGGAAATAAAAAGTTTAATTTTCATTACTTAAAATAACTGTTCAACCTGAAAATTAAATCCCAGATCTGATTTTCTAATCTGTCGAGCATATTTTCTTTATGAAATGGTCTATCTTTAATGATTTTTCATGTTCCAAATATAAACAGCAAACTTTTTAAAAAACTATTAGAATTTAATAGTGTTACTGAATACTGAATTAAGTAGAACCTTGGAGAAATCATTGATTATTCTCATTAGTTTCATCATGCTAAGGAGCTTTTGACCCAAATTATGCCTAAGTGTTAAAGGTCAGTATGATTATCAAATCATAACACTGTTCCCAGTTACCATACCAAAAATCTAATTCTAGTAAGGATTACCCACAAACATTTTTTTCTATTTTGGGGGCCACACCTAGCAGCTGCTCAGGAGTTATTCATGGCTCTGTAGTCAGGAATAACTCTTGACATTGCTCGAGGGACTATAAGGAATGCTGGAATCAAACCAGAATCAGCCATGTGCAAGGCAAATGCCCTACTTGCTATACTTCCTCTCCAGCCAAATTTCCTTAAGATTCTATATTCATTCCACAGGTATCTATGAAATCCTCACATGTGTAGAATATCTTTATGTTTTTCACAAATGTGTGTTTCAGGTGTGTATAAGTTATAAGCCACTTATAACTTTTCTTACTTAAGTTTGTTCTAGTATTCTCTGAACACTATTTTATAATTTCATATAACTTTGATTTTAAAAATGACATGGATCCCCAAACATAAGAGTTTCTATCATTCTCTCACGAACTACTAACACCTAATTAAAGCAGACACACTATTATACCCACCAGAACACTTTATGAAGCCAAGTAACAACAGAACTTTGACAGGAACTACCATACAACGATACAACTATTCTCATAAAACATACCCATCTCTCACACTTTTCATGATTGCATTTTTTGTTTGTTTGTTTTGTTTTGCTTTTTGTGCCACACCTGATGATACTCAGGACTTATTCCTGACTCCACACTCAGGAATCACTCCTCATGGAGCTTGAGGGACCATATATATGGATGCTCACAGGGCAGAGTCTGGCAAACTCCCCGTGGCCTACCAAATATGCCAAATACCAGTAACAATGATGGGTCTCATTCTCCTAAAGAGCCCTGAATATAATCTCAGGGCTAGGATGAAAGAGACGTTACTGGGGCCTGCTCGAGGCAATCGACGATTAACAGGATGATGAAATGAAAAATGAAAAAAAATATATGGATGCTAAGAATCAAACCCAGTCTGACTGCATGCAACGCAAGCATCCTACCTGCTGGACTATCTCTCCAGTCCCAAATGTTTGTCATACTTTATTGAAATTTTTTATGTATGTAAATATTTCATAGCCCTTCAAAATGATCTAGGATTACTAGTCAATAAATCGCTCTGGCTAATGGGTTCCTTTCCATACCTTCTGGTGTTGCTCCTCTTTCATCTTTTGTAATCTTCTATTTTCCTCTTCCTTTAAAGAATCCTTATAAGCCCGGCTTCTAGACTGTAAAGGTAGCAGGGATGGGGACAGAAGGGAGAGAATAACAGGAGAAAAATTAGCAAAATTTTGCCTACCATGAAACTAGTTCTAACAACACAATCTCATCCTGAGCATACAATAAGCCCTTCACACACACTGCTTATTGAGTGATTTATGCATGTGTCTGAAGCCATCCCTTGGGATACATAAAAAGAAGGCTAATGCAAGCACAGTCATCCAGCATATTTCAGAGGATGATCTAAATGTTTGTTTAATTAAGCTTTTAAAATATCCTCTCAGAGACAATCAACATAGTTTATTCCTTCTAGTGAGAAGGATTTTAAATAGAAGCAAAGTCAAAAAAATTTTAAAGAATATACCAACTAGTTCATATCAGAGACAAGCAACAGTGACACTGACTTTGAAGCAAAACAGAACTTATCTATTGCTCATTAATGGTATCCTATTAAACAGCTGCCAACTGGTGATTGATACCATATAATACCAAAGATTCAAGTCTTTCTAAGTCTTTGCATCCCTAATCAAGATGTGAAATTTATTTCTAGTTCTGAGAGCTTTCCATTTCCAAACAAAGCCTATGTAAAAAGGAACACAGGAGTCTGGATAGAGTAGAAACTCCAGTGGAAGTCTTAGAGCCAACACACACAGACCAGGGTCCTTCTGCCAGGGTTTTCCCACATTCACACATTGAGCATGCATGCTGGGATTAATGAAAGTCCTAGTAATCTTTATAGTAACTGTTGTACACTTTGTCTCCCACACAATGAATTGTAGCCCAGCTTCTGCAAGTCAGAGAAGTCAGCCTAACAGGCTCATGCAGAGAAAAGTTCATTTATATCATAAAACATCCTGCAGCATCATGTATAAGGTCACGTATTTCAGGTTTGGTTCCTTAATAATCTTCCAAGTTTTTTTTCTGTAAACTGTATCCCCCTTTTTCATTACTACAATTTTTTTCTTTTCGGGTCATACCTGGTGATGCACAGGGGTTACTTCTGACTCTGCACTCAGGAATTACCCCTGGCGGTGCTCAGGGGACCATAGGGATGTTGGGAATCGAACCCGAGTCAGTCACATGCAAGACAAATGCCCTACCCGCTCTGCTATTGCTCCAGCCCCACTACAATTTTCTTAACCATTTCTTTCATGAAGGAGTTCTCAAGCACCGCTCAGGAGCCTCCTAGTGATTCTTGGCCATGCAGGAAGAGGGTTCAGTCTGAGGGGTTCAAGAATGTGGTGTTGTTCCTGCCCTGAATTGCTGCCAATTACCCATGCCACTCTGGCAATCCTGAGGGTCTCTATGGTGGCACCCAATGAAGCTCAGGGGTCCAGGGGGTGCTGGCAATTGAACATGGGTCTGCTACATGCAAGCCATGTGCCTTAACCCTATATCAACTTTCTGGCCCTCAAGTATTTCTTAATTCACTCCCCTGATTGCTGCTATTATAAAAACTCATATTTCATCAAACAACAAGAAGCTCTTTACAGAAAAGGAGCAAGACATTCAGACCTGTATAATCTATAGTGCAACTCATTAGAATATGGAAGTGCAGAAGTATTCAAAAGTTTCACATAACTGAGAGTCAGTAGGATTCTCACCATGGGCCATGCGGGATGGCAAAGAAGTCAGGGAAGGGAACACTATGACAATGATGAAGGGAAGCAGACACCCTGGAGGAGGACGGGATGCTTAAAGAAGGAATTAGGGATCGGCATGATTATAAATCAAAGTGCATAAAGAGAAAAATGTGCTTGCCATAGATCAGGACTGGGCAGGAGGCAAACAGGGAGGAAAGGCTGGGGACATTGGTGGAGGGGAGTGAGCACTGGTGAAAGGATTGATGTTGGAATACTATACATGTGAAACTTAATTATGAATTACTTTGCAACTTTATAGTTCAGTGATTCAATAAAAATTTAAAAGAAAAAAAACAGAAACAAACAAAAAAAGTTTCCTGCCACATTACATAGATGAACATTCCCTGTGATGACCCCTTATCTACATCTTCTGCACCTCATAGGACAGGAAGAAGGCACCAACTGCGAGGACCCTCTTTGTTTTAATTTTTGAGAAGTTAAGTCCTCATCAAAATTCCACCTAGGACTAAAAGGGGGGAGAGGCCACCAGGGAATACATCAGGGAATACATTTTCTATTAGAGAATAAATATTTAGCTAGAGCACATATAGTGACTTGTGTGAAGAACAAATTCTATCTGAAAGAAGAACAATATTTATATTACTCTAAATAAATAAACATTGAAGGACTCTATTTGTATATTCTATCTGTCCCTTTGCAACATAACTAATTTTTAATTCTGTTACTAGAATATGAGTTTCAGTTTTTGACTCAAAACATAATTGTCATATAAATAAAACATAATTTAAAAACAATGCCACAGAAATTGGGAAGTTTCATGACACCTTTAACTTTGGAGAGTTCCAAGTCCTTGTAGTCCTAATGTTTGCTTAACTGACTGTGATCATTAGACAAGGCAGGAAGTTTCTGTTCAAATATAATAGGGGAAAAAACTTTCAATCACTAATTTTCTTTTAAGGATAGAAATATGAATGTCATTTTTTCAAAAAATCTTCTATCATTAAATATTAATTTAATATAATAATACTAACATTCTGTTATTCTGCAAACACACTGACTTTCACTTATCTTCCCATCCCAGGCTCTGTAGATAATAGACTCATTGAACAAACAAGAGCTAAGTTTCTGTGGCAAGATAGGATCCTAGACACGAAGATGTAACAGCTTCATGTGGAAGTTAGACAAGAAAATGATTACAGAGCAGGAGGTCAGGTATTATGATAGAGGACACTGCAAGGGACACTGAATTGAACTGGATCAGGACACCTTCTCCAGTGGGTGACAATAAAGTATATTTTAAGGTAGGAATTGGGTTCAGTAGGGGAAAGGGCATTGAGTAAGCAATAAAATGTTAGCTTTGCAATAGTTTCCTAGAGCTGCCTAGTACCGAAGGTTGGGTGACAAAAAAACAGAAATGTATTCCCTTATATTTCTGGAGCATAGAAGCCAAAACCAAAGTGTCTGCAAGTTTGGTTCCTTCTTAGGACAATGGGAAAAGGATCTCAGTTTCTCCTCTTGGCTTATAGAGGGCTGTGTTCTGTGTATGTCCCTTTACATACTATCCCCACTGTGTCTGCCTCTATATCAAACTTAGCCTTTTTTGTAAGAATAACTTTTTTCCTGGATTAGGCCCATCTTAGTAACCTCCTTTTCACCGAATTACTTCTGGAAAGACACAATCTCCACATAAGGTGACATGCAATCGAATTGAATAAATGAATTTGGGGAGAAACTTTGATTCAAGATAAGAATGAAATCCCATTTCAAAATGGTGGAGTAACAATATTTTTGTTCCCATCTTTTCTCAATAGTTATTCGAAGCAGAGAATCATGAAACAACACAAACCAAGAGAAATATGGATTCCCAGATGAAAATCGACAAAGACAAAGTAGATGGAAGAATGAAGGGGGAAAATCAACTAACATATTGCTGGTAATGGCTAGGGAATTCCCCTGTGAAAAGCAGGGTTCAAGAACAGGAGGTACTGACTGACAGGAAGCCCAGACATGAATGGAGAAGCTTAGGCTACTCCTGACTTGGAAAAGACAGGTGCTCATTCTCCCAGCTATGACAGAATTTTTAAAAAGCACAGTCTCTAGATGAACTAAGCCAGGTCCATCTAGTACCCAAGGTAGCAAAGATCAGATCCCAAATTTCGAATAAAAGAATTGTGTAAAATCCTGTATCCAGAGCGATGGGGAGTATTGGAAGTTTTATTCTCCTGCCTCTCCTATAGCCTCAGAAAGGTTAAAGCTGATGTTTTATCCATAAAACAGAACAAGTTTGTTCTTATTATTTATTTTATTTTGTTTTTAAGTGGCAGTGTAAACAGGAGCTCTTGGAAATTTTAAATATTTCCAACAGCTCAAAAAGATAAGCGAGTAAAATATTTAGGACAGAGGTCCCCAAACTTGTATGGCTTACTGTGCATCTTCAGAAAGAAAGGTTACTCATTGCCTACCTGGAAATCTACCCATTTTAAGCCAAAAGAAAGCCTCCCCTTCCCATGCACCTAAATCCACTACCACTTCATTCCAGTGACCCGAAGGAGCAGCATAGATCATTTTGGGAAACACTGCTTTAGAAGATGAAGTCATATGTGATGAAAAATGTTTGATTATATATCCGAACCCAAGTACTATAGTGCAAAGCTATGGTGGTCCCCAAAGGTGTCAGGCCTCAACAGCCCTGATTTGTCAGGCCCAGACAGGACCAACTATTGACAGGTGGGAGTCATCCTGAGGTCCTGAGAACTGCTGGGAGCCTTCCCCACAAGATGAAGAAGTACTATGATGAGAAGCATGCTGAAAGTAGTCTATAGACCAAGCATGATTGCCACCCATTGCCTCTTTTGCAAACCATAACACCCAATAAGAGAGAGAACAAAAGGGAATGCCCTGCCACAGAGGCAGGGTGGGATGGGGGGGAATGGGGGTGGAGGGATACTGGGATACGTGGTGGTGGGAAATGGGCACTGGTGGAGGAATGGGTTTTTGATCATTGTATAATTGAAACCCAAGCACAAAAATCTGTAAGTCTACAACTATACCTTATGATGTCTCACTAATAAAAAAAAATAAAGTATTTAGAAAAGTGTCTAAAAAAAAAAAAAGAAGCTCTGTGATGAAGTACACTTCCAAAAAAGAACACTCCAACACTCCTGTCTGCAAATATTATAACTTCTCAACAAATTTAAAAAAAAATAATGAGCTAGTCCCTGGATTCACTTCCCAGCACCCTTCCTTCCTCCCACCACCCACACACACACTGACAAAATAAAAGGAAATAAACGCAAGAAAATTATATAGAATTAGTGATGAGATTCCAAACTGAAAATGAGTTTAAATACCTGAAAAGCACATCAGTTCAGTTGAAATTATAGAACAGGAGAAAACATTCAAAT